TTTCTCTTAAGTATTAATTGTATGTACCATCATAAAATTAAGATGTAATTTTTACTACAACATAGTTATGTGTCGTCAAAAAGTGGAGTTTGGGGATCGGCCTGGACTCCATTTCAATCCCATATGTTATGTTATTCACTTCTCGCGTTTCTCGCTTTCCGCGGTACCCTGTGGGTTACATTAACCGCGTAAAGTGAGGGTTAACTGTATAATAAATAAAACAAAATAAAAGGATCCATGGCTCTGTGGTTCACTGAAGACTATAAGGATGTAATTTTACCATATACTGCACTGTACTGTACAGTACAGTGGTCCCTCATTAGCAGTTAACGGATTTGGTTAACGAGTTACCTCCCATAAGATTCTTAACTTCGGTTAACGAGCAATCCCTCGATTAACGAGTTTCTTCACGAGCCGACCTCAACATGTTTTCGCTTACTTGGCGGTCCACCAGCTGTAGTATTAGTCCGTCAATACAGTAATGGTTCTAGGGCTTAAATTCCTTACTATTTATTAAATACAGTGTATCAAGAAGTTTATACTATTCAATAATTTAAAAGTTTAATATTAATTTTTTAGTCATTTTAACAATTATTGAACATAAATGAAGGTAAGGTCACTAGTTTTGCCGGCGCCATCCAGCCTGTTAACACACCAAACAAGCGTTAGTCTCTCTCTGTTTTTCAGTGGAGGTAACATCTTGCTTGAGACTCTCTTCAACTAAATGGTTTTCTTTTCCAAGCAAATTATTGGTCATTTTGAAATTTATTTTACATATTGACAATATACGTATAGCACAGTGCAGTGTTATTTTAAAGAAAATATTCTTTATTTACAGCTAGTTTAAACTTAAAAGATCACGTGTTGACATTGTTTGAATCCAGCATGGGGCCTAAGAGATCAAGAAAAGCGATTTCAATCCAAACCAAACAGGAAATTATTAAGAAACATGAAGAAGGCATTAGAACAAATGAGCTTTGCAAAGAATATGGCATGTCGACATCAACTGTGTCGACAATTCACTTCAGAAAGGCAAATTTATAGAAGTGAAAGTGAGAAACAAATCTACCAGAGTGTTTAAAGGTAGATCCCTAATTGCAGAAACAGAGAGGTTACTTCTCATCTGGATTAGGAAAAACAGATGAAAGGTGATTCAGTTTCTACGAACATTTGATGAAAGAGCCAGGAGATTCACGAACATTTAAAGACAGATCAACCTGGTTCTTCAGGCACAGAATTTGAAGATTTTCAGGCCAGCAAAGCTGGTTCAAAAATTTAAGAAAGAAGTGACATTTTCAGTGTTATTAGGCATGGGGCTGCTAGTGCTGATAAGGAAGGGGCAGCAAAGTTTTTAGTGGTATTTAAAGAACTGATAGAAGAAGAAAATTATCTTCACAGCAAGTGTTCAATGTGGACGAAACTGGGCTGTTCTGGAAAAAGATGCCCAAAAGAACATTCATCACCAGAGATGAAGCCTCTTTACCTAGGCATAAACCCATGAAAGACAGTCTCACTCTATTGCTTGGTGCCAATGCTTCAGGGGATTTCTGACTGAAGCCTATGCTTGTCTACCACTCTGAAAACCCCAGGGTGTTCAAGCAACAGAAAGTGGTACAGTAGAAGTCCGAAAATCTGGAATGCTCGGGGATTGGGTCGGTCGGTTTTCAGATTTTCCGGATTCTCTGGCAGTACTTTTAAAATTCAAATTTAAGGAGGAATAAAGATGAGATGAACAGGTACACTTTGATAGTTTATTCATTAGCAAATACTGAGACGAGGCTGTGAATTCTGGATTTTATTCTTTGCCTTTTATATAAGTAAATTGTAGACTTTCCGATGTCGAGTTTCCATTAGATCAGTATTGCTTTTTAGTTTCAATTATTTCAAGTTTGTCACTCAATTTCAACGTGATCTTCTTTCTCTTCACACAACGAAGTTTATCTACTTTAGGAGCCATTATTATGGGCTTGTAAATACGTATGCTATATATGGTAAATGGAAAGAGTAGGACACAATATTACATACAGTGGGGTATGCTATTGCGAACGGATCCTACTACGAATATTCCTATAACGAACGGTATTACCTATAAAATTGAGAATGCTATAACGAACGAAACTCCTACAACGAACATTATTTAAAAAAAATTTTTTTTTTTTTTTTTTACTAATTTATTGTTCTTTATTACAAGTATTAATGATATTCTTTATTTCAGGGGTTTAGATGCATATGTATGCACTTTTTACAATTTTTACAATTTTATATTATATTTTTTTCAGTGTTTGGTTTATTTGGGGGCCTGGACGGATTAATCCTATAACGAACGAATGCTATAGACAAGGTTCTAGAACCAATTAGATGTTATGAGCATACACACTATTTGATTGCTTTCGTTTTAAAATGGCGCTGCGTGGTGGTCGTAACTATTGTGCAGCTGTGGCACTCACGCGCTCGCGCGCACACATACAAACCGCTAAATTTAAAAGTTTGAGTTTTCAAAAGTCCGTTCTCAGGTGAGGTTGTTCTGGCATCCGGATTTTTGGACTTTACTGTAAGAACAAAGCTTGGAGTTTATTGGAAGTCCAACTGTAAGGCATGGGTGACAAGACAGCTCTTTAATGAATGGGCTGTTGATGTGTTTTGCCCTTCTGTCAAGAGCTACCTAACCACCAATAAACTCCCTTTAAAGGCTCTTCTCCTCATGGATAATGCTCCTGGTCATGACCCTGAACTTGCCAGAAATTTGGAGTATCAATTTGACTTTGTGAAAGTGTTGTTTTTGCCTCCCAACACTACATCAATCATACAGCCAATGGACCAGAATGTGATCAGCAACTTCAAGAAGTTGTACATGAAGAAAATGTTTAGGAGGTGTCATCAGGCAACTTCCAATGATCCTGAACTAACACTGAAACAGTTCTGGAAGACACAATTCAACATCCTGGAGGCTGTAAAATTGATTGTGTCATCATGGCAAGAAGTCTCCACTAGATCCCTCAATTCTTCATGGAAAGCACTGTGGCCATCAGTAGCCCATGATTTTGAGGGATTTCAGGATGACACAGAGTTGGACCAGGAGATTGTGTCCATTGGTCAGTCATTGGGCCTTGAAGTGGAAGAGGATGATGTCGAAGAGCTTGTGATGTCTCATGAGGAGGAACTTACTCCTGATGACTTGAAGCAACTGGATGAGATGTTAGAGGCTGACAGTGGTGAGGAGGAAATGGAAGGTGATGACCATATGTCAACTAAAGAGTTGAAAGATGTGACTTACCACTGGGAGAAGTTCAAGGAACTGGCTTCAAAGCACCCAGATGTGAAAAAATCTGAACTAACTTTGTGTCATGTTGAGGACACAATGGTCTCCTTTAAACATAAGTTAATGGTGAGGAGGAGAGATGCCCCACAGACCACAATTGACACTTTCTTCAGTAAGAGGCAGAGGGAACAAGATGCTATCCCTCAGCCTTCCACTTCAAGAAGGAGAGAGGATGTTCATGGTGGAGAATCTGTCAGTCCAGAGGTTCCTGACATTTTCATGGAAGGTGACTCACCTTCCAAGAAGCAGTAAAATGCTTCTCCACCTCCACTTCCTTCTCTTCTCCCTTCTCCTCCTCCCACTTCAAATTCACATCGGCATCATCATCCAGGAGCCTTCTACATACACACCTCAAAGTAAGTGTAATTTTCTACCTTTTTGTTGAATTTAGGCAATTTTCGTGAGCTGGAACCAATTACCCAAAAACCCACTGAAACTATGGTTTCGGTTAACGAGATTTTCGGTTAACGAGCAACCTGCTGGAACGGATTGTGCTCGTTAACCGAGGGACCACTGTACGGTATATTAAAAACATGTGTTGTCTGAAGAAACAGACTCACCTACAGTGCACAATGGTTTTACATTCCAAATGAATAAAAAACTGGGTAAATATTACTGATATATGACAGCTTATAAAACAAACATAAAATGTTATAATGACAATAATAATAATTTTAATTCTAGAGTAAGACATACACTAGTGTGCATTTTGTGTAGGTGGTGAAGCTAGAACTTATTGGAATGATTGATCACAAGACATACAGTACATCCAGGTACCAAAGCCTCTCAACCCCAACAACTTAGGAAGGTCTATAAAACAGTTTTTGAGAGCCTTCATTTCTTGTGCTTTACAGAAGAAAATAAAATTAGCTAAAAATGATATAATAACATCTGAAACTATTATAAGACCAATGTAACACTTCATGAGAGAGAGAAGTCATGGCAATCTTCTCATTTATTATTTTTCTAAAAATCACCAAAGACAGAAAGATTATTAAAGCAAATATTCTGATACCATGCATCAACTGCACAGTATTAGTACTGTACTGTATTGCACTTTATGCCTGGAAATTTAAGAAAAAGATATACTTGTACTTCTAATGTACCCAGTATGGCAGTACAGTACTGAGAAATTGGCATTACAGTACTTTTAATACTACCTGTACTGTACTGTACTGTATAGTAATTCCTATATCAATTAACTTTAATTTCTAAAATTATCTACGAGAAGTGAATTTCCTCTTTTGCCTTGACTGTCTTCCTGTACAGTACTTTGTTTAATTTATCCACTTATACAGTACGTACCATCATTTGAAATTCAATTACTCAACTTAAAGTAATGAACTCTAAGTACAGTATCTCCCTATACCAGTGGTTCACAAATTTTCTCACATGATGAATCAAAAGTAAGGTTCTCCCTTATTGTTATTCATTCTTCCTAGATGCTTTACCATATGTGTTCTACCAAGATGTTCCCCTTCCCAAAAATATGGCCCGAAGATATCTATGGTATTTACAATATAATAAAAGGTGATTATTTTTTTTAATCTACTGTATTATTTGTTATGCTAACTAAAACTACTTAAGTACCATGAAAACACATTAACATACATAACTATAAATTTTGTACAGTAATGTACTGTACAATATATCCATAGGTCAATAAAAGATTACATTTAAGGTAAACATTTATTTCTTGTAGTACTGTATACTGTACCTCATTTATATATATTCATCAACTGTATATCCAACCATAAACATAAAGTGTTACAAAATAAAATAAAAAGGTTAATAACATGAGCACACTGGTGAAATTACACACATTTAAAAGTGCTGTACAAGTGACAGGTAAATGATAAAATTGTAAAACTTCCACAACCCAGACCCACAATAAACCCCTTCAATTCCTAACTTCTGAATGTGTTAATAGATACCTTAAGCCATACTACATAGTATCCATGCACCAGAAAGCATCTTCAACAACCATAGTGCATCAAAACCTGTACCTTTGTTACATCGGTGATGGACTACAATGTACACCAAACCATTATATAACATGCATACTTATGCAGGGTAATTCAATTTTTTTATAATTAAAATCAGATAAAAAAAGGGTTTGATCCTGAAAACTCATTTTATAACAGAGCCAGTCACAAGTAGCCTGTGACTATGTGCACCCAGGTCTTACATGGTTAGTAGTCCTAGATCCTGGCAACTGGTGGTAATCCAAGGTCACTCCCACCCTGATGACAACTGCTGCTCAAAATGAAAGATTGGAGGTCTCAGTTTGTCCTAAGTTGTGTAAGTATGATACAGTAATTCATGAGGCCATACATCTCATCGGGCAGTGTCATTAACCAGATGTGCAGTAACAATTACCTCATTAAAACCAAACTCCAAGAACATTGCAGAGAGGTGAATGGGATCTGAGTCATTCTTCACTAGCTCTGTTATATAATGCATTTTCAAGATTAAACCTGCCATTTCAGAGTAATCCATGAGTCAAAAACGGAGGGGATAGAAAGAAGCTCCAAATATTGTGTGGCATACAACCCAAGTGGGATTCTGCTTCCTATACAAATTGGGCATTAATCCTGAAATCCCATTTGGTTACAAGTATGGACTGTGCTGACAAGCCTGCAGGTTGACTCCAAGAAATTCCAGTAACTTACACTCCAGCATCCCAGTAAAACAGAAAACTAGAAGTAGGATCTCTCCCATCGCAACTCCAGTCCTTAACAATAGTGTATAGCAAGGAAGATTCAGTTTCTGAAGCCGAGAGCTGTGAATGTATACAATATTTCCAAGGCCTTGTGCATGCAGCCTGCTGCCCAAGACATTTTTGTTTCAGTGAATTAGAAATTTCATTTATGCTCAAGACAGCTAGTATCTAGGAATGGAGGCATACTCCAATGGTACAACTCGCATTGTAATCTCCGGAAACAGTGTAAATCCCTAACCTCACAGGCTTCCAAGCACCACACAATCCAGATACCCTGTGATGAATACCTTTGCATACGTCCATCCCCCCTCTCTAGAAGATGGATTTCAGTGAGACTGCATGAAGGAAGGTCTCAAGGATGCAACTCCAGGAACATGTGGGACACACTTCAACTGAGTGAGTTATTGGCTTTCACTGAGATAGAGGCAATATAATCTTGACCTTTGGGCTGTTGATCATGCCTTTCAGTTATTTAACTGTGGTTGTGAATCACTTTAACTGGATATAGAAACTGATGAGATCATCAATCAAATTTCCATGCCTTTAACTGAATCTACTCCAGCCTAAAACTTCAAGTCTAATTTTTCTATAAAAACTAAAGACTTAGACAGAGCTTGACCCTTATTAGTGAAGGTATAAAATAAGTAAAACTGTTGCCCATCCAAAAGGTAAGAATCCCCTTCACTATGGGAAAGCCACTTTTAATATTTTATTTGGCTAATGCCAGATGATTTTATTCAGCTCACAGGTGACCCAATACACAAGGGGTTGTGACAAAATATTCTTTAGTCAACTAAAGTTCCCTACAAAAGACATAGCAATCTAGCTACAAAACTATTAACTGCATGAGAAACAAGCTGGGCCTCCTTAAATGCCAATGATAATACTAATGTAAAAAGGTATTGAAACCTTTAGAAGCCCTACAAGGTGCTCTCAAGAAGAACCTGAGAGCTGCTTTTGAATCAATCTGGACTAGAGAAAGATGGAAGTTCCCAACACAATGCACCAGTGACCAGGCGCACTGAGGGATCCTGGAAAAGTACATCACATAATAATTCTTTAGAGAGAAAGATCAAGTACTGTACAACCTGATCCCATCTCTTTAAAATGAGCATAGTGTGTAACTCCTTCCAAACAACCTGAGATGTTGCAATAACACTCCAATATTACCAAAGCCTTGGCCATAAAACATCTTTGAAACCTTAAGCTGGCCCCAGGCCTTCTAGGAAACACCCTGCAAAAACAACAGATTGGAGAGATCACATGAAGATTCGCATTCCACCATATTTCACCTGAAGACTAACCACCATAACATTACCTGGGGGATAAGGTTAGGCTAGATTAGCATTTGGGTGGTTAACTTTAAGGTAAAATACACTAGGGCAAACCTTCATGTGGAATGGGTAAATTTGAAATTAGGAAATGCAACACACACTGGCACATTGTCATTACACCATTACATGTATAAACTTGTAAAATGCAAGAGAAAAAACATCAACTCTTACCTTACACAACACAAGTACAGTAGTTATATGGACCAGACCAACCTCAGTGTTAATATAAATATATGAGGAGTTGTACACACACGTCTTTCCTTATGACTTTGGCAACTGAGGTGAAGAAGTTGTTACTGTGAATCTGGTTTATAACAATGTCAAGTGAGTTATGATCTGTGCAGAAGAAAGAGCTGCACAGCATAATGACTTGTCACATTCCCATGTCTTACTGCAAACACTGACCTTTAATCTCTCATTTTGAGTGATGGTTGTCACAGGGGAGAAAGTGATCTTCACTTTACTGTACCTCAAATTGCCAAGGCCTAGGAGCTCAATAAACCTAAAAAATCCTGGGTGTACATATTCAAGTGTTGCTTCTTACATCATGTCCAAATTTTATCAGTATGAAATACTGTAGACTATATGAAAACCATTTACAACTACTGTACCTGGATGTTTAAATACCTTTTTATTTTTTTATAAAGGAGGTACCCTTAATCTTTTTTTGTGTTAAGTGTTTAAAGATATTGAATTTATTCAACCATAAAAACAAAATTTTAGTGTGGGAAAGAGCAAGATCAAAGCTAAACTGCCACAAATGACTTGAATGGTGAACAAAATAAAATATACTACATTATAGTTTTATTTACAAATTACATTTAGGAATATGGCATTTTATCTAAATGAGTTTGTAAGTGTCTATCTAAATTACTTTTCTTGACACCACGATATGAACAATGAGGACAAGTATAAGGCTTTTCTCCCGTATGTGTCCGAAGGTGTATTTTCATGCGATCCTTTGTTGATGCCTGATAGGAACAGTGTGAACAAGAAAATGGCCGTTCTCCAGTGTGAGTACGAATGTGCATTTTCAAGCGATGTGATCTATTAGTGATGTAAGCACAGTAGGGGCATCGATTTGCGTTGCTGATGTTGGCGAGGTCATTTCCGGTTCCTGGTGCTCCACCACAGTCTGTCACTTCGTCTTCATTCTCCGTTCCTACCTATAGAAAATGCCTATCTTATTTAAATGTCATAAAATTTGAAATATACACTAGATGAAAGGTAAATATTTTATATTCCTTCCGGGTCTATCAGAAGTCGTTTATAAAAGGGTCATACAATTGTCTCACTTTCCATTTGTAGTACAAGAGGTATATGTAAGATACTACCTATTGTTTATTCCAGAAATCCTAAGGTAATTTTCCTTTTTTTTTTTTACGGGATTAGCCCACCAGGGCACAGGTCACTGACCCACATCAGGGCCTAAGGGACAAAATAATAAATAATAATAAATAATAATAATAATAATAATAATAATAATAATAATAATAAATTAAAAACTATAAAAAATATTAAATAAAAATATAATAATAATAATAAAAATATAATTATAATTATAATAATAATAATAATAATAATAATGGACCATAAATAAATACAAAAATGAAAAAAAAAAGATCAAAAGCAAGAAACAATATACTGTATGTTGTGTTGTCAATGGTAAGAGAAACAATTGAGACCCTGCAAGTGTGCTTAAATGAGGCAGAAGGTCAGATCAGCAACCTGGGACTTGGTCACAATTTTCATGATGCCTTAGGGCAGCAGGGTCTACCACTAGACAATAAATAATGCTTCCTGTAGTTAAGACAAAATAAAATTCTGTAATTGAAAAATATTTTATCTATTTTCAAATACTGTAAATGTCCTCTAATCTGGACAAATGGGGAGAGAGAGAGAGAGGACTGTCCAGTATTGTCCATGATGCAAGGTGGAAAATCCCAGAGGACGGAGGATTTCCGACTCAAGCTGAATACAGCAATGGCCATAACAGACCCCTAGTGTTTTGTAATTTATCAAATGCTTTGAATCCTTGACCCAAGTCTCCATGCGAGTTATAACCTGGCTTGTTAGACAGCACTTTTATTGGGAGATTAGATAATCCCTTGTCTACGAGAGATTCTTGCCTAAACGGAAATTTTTTTTTGTCGTTAACAGAATTAACACTTAAGAGAGTAGTCTGAAACAAAGAGTTAATGTCATTGAATCCATGCGATTATGTGATGATACGGTGATAAAAATGAAAAATGTACATTAGATTTAGAGTTACAATGAGAGATACAGAAAATAAAAAGGGTTACTAGAAATTAAGGGAATGTGCTAAGGAGCATTGGGGATAGTAGGAGGAAGGGTGAAGGTGGGAGGAGAGCCGAGTTTCATCGTGCATCTAGCTGTAGTTCCAATGTTATCGGACCATTTATGGACTTTACAGTTTCAGTGTGTAAATTGCACTGTACTTATAATAATAATAATAATAATAATAATAATAATAACTACAAAACTGGGTAAATCAAAATACTTTGAGTTATGCCTTCTTTATTAACATGTGTCAACACTTATAGTGCATGGTACTCACAGAACCCCTTCCCACTTTCTATTGCCTTTTAAAATCTTGTGGTTACCACTGCATGCCTGTTACTTTTCTGACAACGAAGTTACTTCTCATGATTGGTGAATCATCTAGCATTAATTTCCTTTTTCATTTCTTTGGAAAACTAGGAACAGGAAGACCTGATTGCAAAGCTGCTTCTCAAATATCCTCCCAAGATTAAACTAAAATTATTGTAATATCACACACATTCAGATTGTTAATTACTATGAGAAAAATATTTTTCTAATACAGTGCGTACTAAATAAAATTTTATATGTGTCTTACATATATAGATGCCCCAACAGACCGGCTAATGTGTCGAAGGGACATAGCTAAATCAAATCCTACCACCCACACTAAATGTCAATCCATAAATGATGATTAAACTTCCTTCCATGTTTGAAGTCAGTACAACTGGACCTGTAGGGAACACTACACGCCCCTTTTAAGCTGATGGTAAAACACATCCTGTAACTCAATGAAACTTAATCCCATAATATCCTTTAAAACAACTGTACTTACTGGCACATACTGTATCTCATTTCTAAATAAGAGAACCATGCCATCTGTATAAGTAGGAGGAAACTAATTGTAACAGGACTAAAGACTGATAATCAGTAATGATCCATTCATTGGTAGGGACCATGACTATTTCTTAACTCCTGTGTACTGTATTTCTTACCATTTAGGACACCCGGCTCAAGCTTTGTTCATCGACATGAATAAAGTGATCACGTCACTATCTTTATATGGATAAACTTCAACACTGGTTAGTTGCACCGGGCTGGAACTATGATGTGAGTTGAGCTGACCAAGATTCATCTGTTTAACATCCTGAACAATTCAGACATTGTTATACAGGTGGCCCCTGCTTTATACTATTTAATGCAATTTTGCAATTATGTGTAGAACCTGTTTCTACTACTGTATTGTACACTTATTTTGTCCAAGAAAAATACACAATGTGTGAAGCTTGTGAGAGTACTGTAGGCATGTGACTCTGTTATGCAGTTGGGGCTCGTGAGGTCTTGGGGAAATAGGGAGGAGCATTGAGTGGAGCTCATATGAGGTCTTATGGTTGCAAGTGAAAAGGTGAGTGGGAGCCACATGAGGAAGCCCAAACACTCCCTCACAATGTGTTGCTTTGTCCATGATGTATGCAGAACTATGCTACTCTCAATTCATCCTCCAGTGCAAGTCCCCCAACCTTTATACATAATGTGCAGTAAGTGGCCACATTACATACAAGGCCTCAGTAATTGTCTGCAGCCATCAAACAGTGTAAATATAAAATATGTATCACTCAGAAAAATAAAACAGAAAATTGGACATCAAGAAATACAAAACTAAACCACATATTCAGACAAGTACATTACTGATATACAGAACATAAAACCAAGTAACTTAATGGGTGGCAATAAATAGTAATGTAACAAAATTATGTTTCAGATTCAACAATACAAAGGAAATGGTTACCAAGACTCTCGTGAAATTCAAGACTGAATATCCTCTGCAACGTTTGTAAAATTTGGTTCAAATCTAGTAAAAGCCACTTCCACAAGTTCCCTTGTGTGAGTGTTAGTCTGCTGGCAACTGTACGTAGACCCAAACATTAAAAATACTATTAAATGTACTTACAGTATTTCAGTGTTAACTGATGCACTTTTTTATTGTTCCAAAAGTTAACCAATGACTGACCTCGTATGTATAAAGAGAAAAAGATTTGAAACAAACGAGAACAAAGTTTTCTTACTCTAAATCTCAGAAAAACTATCTGTGAATTCCAAGTGTAATCATGACAAACACTCAAGTACTACTTGTGTGTATGTTGTCAGCTGCCAGGTACTGCATTATATTTCCCAGTCTTAAAGTGTATCAGATTAAGTGTTTGCTGCATAAAGTGTTCAAACACCCTTATCAAATTAGCCAGCCACTCATCACATATTTTGGATGCCACAAATGTAAACTTTCTGGTGGCATGAGGCTGGAAATATGAGGGTTGTGGACACCTGCTCTAGTACTGCACAGTATATGGATTTGCCATCACTGCTGACTATTGTATTATCATCAAATGCTCAGAGTAACCTGCTAGTGCATCTCCCAAACCTTCTACTGTATTTATCAAATGACAAAGTGAAAAAGTGCTGCTTTTAACATTAGAAACAAAGTAAGAGATATTGAGGTGAGAAGAAGTGGGGAACAGTGTCAACATTTGTCCTTGGGGTGAGCACAATATGCCCCATTAAGAGCCCTGATAATCTAAGGAACACAGTAATACACTCAATATCACTTTCAATAAAGGTAACACCAAGAAAAAGAAATCCTCAGCTGGAAAATGGAGAAGATGCTGGGGATGTACAGTATATTAAGGTCCAGACCTCAAGGAAAACAGTACTGTATATCTCAAGAGGGTGTGTGTCCCTATTGATGGGGAGTCTTCAAGCTGATACAGGGGTACCTCTTTTGCTTCTTGTAATTTTTATTACAAAAAGTGTTAGAAATTATTCTTGATGGCTAGCAGAAGTCCCGCAATACATCCCTGTTTAATACATGTACGTAATAAATGGCTCTCTCGAAGTGAATTTATTTTGTGCACACCTTTTGGGGACACAACCCCCACATAAAGCATGGGCCACCTGTACTTCACTTTTACTGAGTCCACAGTGACTATGGTACAGTACTGTACTGCAGTAGTGAAAACCAGACTGTACTTAAACAAGGAACCAACCCAGGTTGGGTAGTGCCTTTTTCAAAGTGGAAACCTTGACCTCCAAATCCTACAAACAGAGCAATTGTAGAAGTTATCCAAGAAAAAAAAAAAAAAATTATATATATGTATGTATGTATGTATGTATGTATATATGTATATATATATATATATATATGTGTGTGTGTCAACTATGACAATTATTGTATACTGTAAAGGCAGCAGCACACTGAGCACTTTCCTCCAAACATTGCCCATTTTGCTAGCCGCTGGCCTGACGGCCCACCAAGCAGCAGGATTTTGGCTGTTGTGAGAAATGGACAACGGTTTGGCGGCGAGGTTTGCTGGCCGGATTAGTGCTCAAATGAGCTTCATATTAGGTGTTGAATATTCAAGTATAAATGGAAAAAAAATCATGAAACAATAATAATTCAAAATACTGTACGTACTGTACTGTATAACACAAAACATTGACATGTCTCTATTTTTTCACCACTTTAAAACTTCCTTAGTATTATTAAATAATTATTCAAGGTCTTCCTTGACCAACGAGCCACCGCCACTTGTAAACTAATTTCTTTTCTTTAGCTTTTACAGACGCCTCACTTGCTTCAGCGATTGAAGAACTATAGCACAATCCTGGAAGGCCTCAACTGTAGTAACAATCCATGGTGAACCTCATCTAGACGCTTTGTTGTTGTTTTCATTGCGTTGTGCAGATGTGCCAGCAAAACATCCCAGTGTGATGCGAACATCTCTGTTTTGCTGGCCTGACCGTGTTTGCCAAACAAGTAGGAAGGAAAAGTGCCCTGTGTGCCACTGCCTTAACTCTTTCCATTTTGAATTGTGTTGCAGACATACAGTAT